AAGGAAAAGTGAGCAGCAGAGCTTCTAATTAGATTTTTCTGTTGGTTCTACTCGGGTTTAACCCTGGCTGTCATTGAAGTGTTTATAGATGTCGCTGGGCTTGGAGTTTGGGGTTTAAGGCTTAGGGGTGTGGGGTTTAGGGTTTACGGCTGGAAGCTGTCAAAGGCATGAATCATAGCAGAGCTCCTGCAGGGATGAGACAGTAAAAAGCATGCACCATAAAACCTAAACCCCAAATCCTCCAATCCTCCAACCCTAAACCCTGAAACTCCAAACCCTAAACCCTAAACATCCCCAAAACCAGCCTCTAAGGCATTCCAACCAAGCAAACCAGTGCGGACTAAACAAAAAAACCATCCCAAAACCTTAAACTTACGACCTCCGCTAAGATCTCATGTTTGGCCTTTTCCTTAAAGGGTTGCTTCGACGGTTCAAGCTTCTGTCCAAGAATCTCAAGGGGCTTTAAGGTTTCACGGTTAGGGTTTGGGGTTTGGGGTTAGAGTGGCATTTGCTGCGAGGATTGAAACAGTTAGTTAATTATATTTTTCTGTTGGTTTTACTCGGGTTTAGCCTTGGTTGTCTTTGAAGCGTTTATAAATGTCGCTGCAGGCGTTGATGTGTTCTCTGGGCTTGGAGTTTACGGTTTAACACTGTTGTACATGTATATCTACATATGTATATATATATATGTATGCATATGCATACATGTATACATACCTTTGGATATGTGTATATGTATGTATGTATGTATGTATTTATGTATGTATGTATGTATGTATATAAATATATATATATATAAGAGGCTCTGGCTCGAGCCCACGTTGTGTGATTTTAGTGTGCATACCGGCATGGCTCGCTATGTGGCTCACGTCCAGTTCCATCTGGACATCGAGCTGAGGACCTCCGGGGATGTCATCTGGCAGAAGTTGAACGGCCTCATAAACTCCGGCATTCTCCATCTGCTTGCAGCTCGCCTGCGCCGTGATCGTCCCTATCGGTCTCAACTCACCCAGTCGATCCAGGACCTGCTCTGGGAACAGGACTGGTGAGTCCTGCTCTGCCCGCCATCTGTCCTCCTCCTGCTTGCCTTGGGCTTTGCGCAGCTGCCCTTGTTCTGACCAATCCACGAGGCACCGCCTGCTACATGAATTGTCTTGTGTTGGCGCTTTTGCATCATCTTGCTTGCTTGCGTGTCACTAGGCTGGATCAACTGGGGGCCCTTCGCAGCTTGTATCGTGCTCTCAGCAGGTCCACTGCCCCTGTTGAGCTTGGCAAATGTTTTGACTGGGTCATGCTTGTCAATCCGTGGTCACACTGGCAACGGCAGTCTGATACTGCCGAGTTCCTTCAGCATCTCCTTCCCAGGCTTCGCTTGCCCTGCCTTCGGGGCTCTTGGCAGGCACGTCGCTCTGAGCATGGTTCCCTCTGTGTCCTTGATCATGGCTCAGCCGACATGGGTCCCGTTCCACTCGTCATCACAGGTGCAGAATCCTTACAAGACTGCATTGATCAGTGGCACACCCAGTCCTCCGTGCATGCACTTACTCGTGATACCCGGAGCATCTGGCTTCAGCTCCTCAGGTTCAATGCCACGGGAAGGGGAGCTCGGCGACGCTATGTTAAGGACAGACGGTCTGTGCTCCATATCCTGAATGAGTTCCTCATGCCAGTCTTCGATGATGATGACTCCCTTGAAGTCTCCCACCTGCCTTTTCAGGCTACGGCGGTCGTCATGCACCATGGGTCACAAGTGACATCCGGACATTGCCGGAGTGTGCTGCAGTTCGACAAAAAGTTGTGGTGCACGGATGATTGCACTCCAGCACGCAGCATGTCAGCCAGTGACATGCACTCTGACTTGTCGCAAGACTCCTATCTGCTGCTATGCAGTGCTGTTGAGGTTCCATCCTCTATCAACGATCCTCTTCCTCCTGATGCCAACACGGATGCACAGGTGCTGACGGCCATGCTGGCCTGGCACTTGTTAGTGGCGTAGCAGTTCTAGCACCCACAGAGGTGCCGATGCTCAAGACGAGCATTGCTGCAATGACAGCTAG